ATCTTTGTCAGATATCAAAACAAGGAAATGGCGTCAATGGCGCCGTCTGATGGCAATTACATTGACAACTATGGCCATCTATTGGTAAATTCCGGTTTCCTATTTACATACCTGGTATTCATAATCTTGTTAAAATAGTCATAAAAAATAAGGAAACAATTTATACAATATTTTAATTTATTCATTTAATAATTTTGATTTAAACAAATAATCATTATATCTATATTTATCATACAATATTAAAGTCTTACCGTTATTAAGACAGTGTTATTATTATTATTAGCATTATTAGTATTATTATAGCGATAAAAATAATAAAAGAACATTTAGTAAAACTAAGAAAGTGAAGAAATTAAAATTGAAATATGCTAATATGAATCGACATAGGAAGTTGTGTATTAATTTTTATTATTTGAAATAATCCATATCACTCAGAAACATTACATTCTTTGATTCGGATCTTCTTCAGTGTAAATTCCTTCACAAGTAATTATTTTACTTTACATTGTAATCATCATTAAATTAACATTTGTTAATAGTACAGTTGAAAGTATAAGAGAACAACATAAATATAAGAAAAAGAGACTGAAATTGAATTCTAAAATATAGCACTGAATTAATTTCGCAACTTGACTTTAAAATATATAGTAATTGTCATTGATTCATTGGCAAATTATTACTTCCGAGAACTATTTAGAAAATACAAGATTAATTCCCATCCTATAATAAGAATTTCCAACGATGCCAATTAGATTTTGCAAATGGATTTCACGGAAGGCAATGAAGAATAACTCTCCACAATGAAAATAATTTCGACTTTCTACTGCATCGGTACCATTCACCATGCATTTACTGGCATCTATCTGACGCGAGGAATAGCGATGAGATCATCGCATACAAAAAAAAAATTAATCATTAAGTACTTGTTTTGTAGTTAAAAATGTAAAATTAAAAAATTTTTCGAACAAGAAGTTAATATTTTACTATTAGTCCAATCGAAACTCAAATCTATCCCGACTTATTTAATAAAATTTGTATACTGAATGCAAAAAAATTTATTTTTCACTTCTAAAAATAAATATGCACATATCAATTTGTAACCATTGTGAAATAAATTCAGAGAACAGACAGAAGAGTTGAATCTCTTATTATGATATCTGCCAAATACGATTAGGGTCTATCGAATAGGCTAGAAATTAATAAAAAAGTAAAATGCTTCTTTAATTACAATTATGCAAAAATAGACTTTTTTTGGACTTGAATAAACAAAAGTATTTTTCATAGATTTTTGTTTGCTGAAGACAAATCTGGTCGCAAAATTAGTCTAGCACGTCAGATTTCCGAGAAAATTAAAAGGTTATATATGTTATAATTGGTATTTTTGATTATATTTATCACTTTTTTTACGGCCAAAGTAAATTTGTTTCTTCAATTTACATTACTTTAAAGTGCTATTTTTTTAACTATGAAATAAATTTATATTTATCACGCTTTATGTTTATATTGATGTACTAGTATTCTTGTGTTTAAATTAGAGATGATTTCTTATGAATTTTTCAATAAAAGATGGATCTGTGCATGAAGATTCGTACTCAATTGAAAACAGATAATAAACGGATTTATCCTAAATTAAATATAAAATAAATATAATATAAAAAAAAAAATGGAATTCCAAATCTGCATCAAACAGATTCATAGATAAGAGTTGACATGGAACTTATCTGCAACTTCAAATGTATTTTGGATATAACAGGATTTGCAGTATCACAAGAAATCACATTTAACTATATATTCAAATTCATGTACGGATAGGTTTGGAATTTTTAACGGGAAAATAATCATCAACTATAATTTGAAAAATTATATAGTTATTTTAGCGAAAAAACTACATTCGTCCAATATTATCATTTTAAATTAAGTACAATCGAAACATCTCCGACAAAGCACAAAGATACAGTCATATGGTGCTTTCTAAATGATTAATACATCCTAATTCAAACGTACACAGGAATGCACTAAGTGTGGCATTGTGGCATCAATTGGAACAGAATGTATACACTATGCACGATTGAGATCTATTCGTTTCGGATAGAGTTAGATTAAATATAGCTTTTTCGGTTTGTATGAAACAAAAAAGTAAAAGTGTCGGCTACTTAACGTCCTTCAAACTCATTTATAGCCGCCGCTGTTAGTAACATGTCATTAAAACAAGCTTACATAGCCCTCGGCTTAATACATGTATTGTATCGATGATAATGGACAATTGGAACGCAACTTGTGTCGCCATGTATACAAAAGTGTCCAGGGATAATGCAATTGGATAGTACCTATAGTTGGAGGGTCACACATTTGTCAGATTTATGAAGGTTGCTAAATGATTATCTACTAATTATAATATATATTTGAAAATATATCTAACTACATATCGAGTAAAAAGAGAGATATATTCTTCAAATAGTATCATTCTAAAGTATAATCGAAAAATCTTCAACCACAGTTTAAAAGTAAAATGCAATTGGAAAGCACCTATGGAGGGGTCATACATTTGTCAGATTTGTGAAGGTTGCTAAATGATTGTCTACTACTAATTATAATATATATTAGAAAATATATCTATTCCTACCATAAAAAAGAGGTATATTCTTCAAACAGTATCATTCTAAAGTATATTCGAAAAATCTCCACAGTTTAAAAGTAAAGCGTTAGTAAACTATTACAGTTCCTTATTTTTCTTCTCTCTTATCTTTTTTCTTCTCTTTCGTCTTAAGAAAACAAAAATCTATTTTTCTGAAGTAATCTGATAATATCATAGCAATATTATATATAAAATACAAGTAAGTTTACTTTTAGTTGCAGACAAGGAACACGGAAAACCGCCCAAAAAGTACGAAGATGTGGAATTGCAAGCATTGCTGGATGAAGATGATTCACAAATACAAAAACAACTCGCAGAGCAATTGAGCGTTAGTCAACAAGCTGTTTCCAATCGCCTATGAGAGATGGGAAAGATTCAGAAAGTCAGCAGATGAGTGCCACATGAATTGAATGAGAGATAGATGGAGAGGCGCAAAAACACATGTGAAATTTTGCTCGAACGATACAGAAGAAAGTCATTCTTGCATCGTATCGTTACTGAGGATGAAAAGTGGATTTTTTTTGAGAATCCCAAGCGCAAAAAATCATGGATAGCTCCAGGTGCACCATTCACATCGACCGCAAGACCGAATCGCTTTGGCAGGAAGACGATGCTCTGTGTTTGGTGGGACTAAAAGGATGTGGTCTATTATAAGCTATTGAAGCGAAACAGTTAATATCAAACGCTAACAATTGATCGATTTGAACCGTTCGCTGCTTAAAAAACGACTAGAATACCAAAAGAGGCAACACAAGGTCATTTTTCTCCATAACAATACTCCATCACATACGGCAAAACCAGTTCGGGACACGTTGGAAGCACTCAGCTGGGAAGTTCTACCCCATACGGCTTACTCACCAGACTTGGCTCCTTCCGATTATCACTTGTTTGCTTCGATGGGTCACGCACTTGCTGAGCAGCGCTTTGATTCGTACGAAAATGTGAAAAAATGGCTCGATGAATGGTTCGCGGCAAAAGGGGAAGATTTTTACTGGCGTGATATCCACAAATTGCTCGAAAGATGGGAAAAATGTGTAACTAGCAATGGAGCATACTTTGAAATCTCTTTTTATCATTCTTCTGAATTTAACGTATTTTTTTTTTTTGGAAAAAAAAATCATCATTTCATACTTGTACACCTGATATACAAAAGTATCTAGGGATAATGCAATTGGAAAGCACCTATGGAGGGTCATACATTTGTCAGATTTATGAAGGTTACTAAATGATTGTCTACTACTAATTATAATATATATTAGAAAATATATCTATTCTTACCATAAAAAAGAGGTATATTCTTCAAACAGTATCATTCTAAAGTATATTCGAAAAATCTCCACAGTTTAAAAGTAAAGCGTTAGTAAACTATTATAGTTCCTTATTTTTCTTCTCTCTTATCTTTTTTCTTCTCTTTCATCTTAAGAAAACAAAAATCTATTTTTCTGAAGTAATCTAGTAATATCATAGCAATATTTTATATAAAATGCAAGTAAGTTTACTTTTAGTTGGCGGGTACTCTTATCATCTAATTAATTGCTCTGTCTTTCTGTAATATATTTACATTTTGAGATCAAGTTGGACACTATTTTAGAATTCTAATCGGTATCTCTCTAGTCAATGTTATCTGAGTTAAATACTTATAGCTTTCTATCAAATAAAGCATATTACAAAATTCTTTAGCATTTCTTTTATCTCTTTCAAGTGTCAATTTTTTTTATTTATTAGCAATAGCGCTAAACATTTTATCGATATCTTTAACTTCTAAGACGTGACATAAACTAATAAGGTATTTACTTTTAAAAATTCGAAATATTGTATAATAAGAATTGACTTATGACTTTTACAGGAGGTAGTAAATAGCATTAGATTTCGAAAAAAATCAATATCATTCTTAGTTGAAAGTAAATTCAAAAAGGTCACAGCATTTGGTAAACTCTGCAATTAGTACTCGGAGTCTAATTGTAAATAATTGTCATTACTCGATTTAATTAAAATTAAAACACATAAAACGGTACCGAAAAATGAAAAAATCATCCATAACACAATAGTTATGATTAATTATAACTATTAAATGTTTTGTTAATTGTTTAATATTGTTTTCGATAATATAAATTTTTTTCTCAAGAGTGAATCATAACTAGTGGCCTTACTCTACGTATCTATAAATAAATATTCCGTGAATAGCAATCTAATCTTGATTATCTATGTGCGCATTTCATTGTTCATACTTGCTGGTTAAACGGCATATAAATATGTTCCTCTAGTATACGTATCTTACAGTGTAGTACTCAAAGTTCCTAGAGAAACTGCATAAACTATATTTCTGAAATTTTTATAGAAAATATTAAAACGTGTTTGTGTTTCGTGTAGAACTAATTCTAAGAACTAATTTTATTAAACTAACTGATGACTAAATTATACTAATTGACTATTTGGAAACTATGACAGAGACGCTAGAAAAAGCGCTAGCTCCATTATTGATTATTGGATCATTTTTCAATTTGGGCATATTCGAATATCCTCGTGGACAATTCAGGCCGTGTCTCTCTTATTTATATGTTTTGGCCATATGGAGCTTTTTTATGTACTTCTATTTCTATCCAACGTATTACTTGAATTATTTACGGATTAAAATTATAAACACATATGTGTTAGTACTGTTCTTAACCATTATATTAATTCTTACCAGCTTCTATCGTTTTAAGGTAAAAATTTTAAAATGTATTGATCCCTATATAATAATACTTGATCTTTTAATATTATTTATCTCTTATTTAATAGTATTTCTCTCTGGAGTATCTCAAAATACCATTCTCGGACTTTCTTACTTTTTAATATTTTGGTCTCTAATAATGTATCTAATGTCTAATGTTTCTCTATCTTCCAAGCTCTTTATGTACGCAGGTGAAGTAATCCTTCTTAAATTTTTTTTCACCCATTCGGTGCTTTAGCAACCTGTTCCGATTTAAATAAAGATCTAAGATCTATTGTCAAATCGTCTGCTAATAATTTGCTGCATCTAAAAATTCTGTAAATCATCCTTACTAATTGTCGGTTCCTCAAAATTATTATCCGTATTCAATCCTTCGATATTTCGTAAAATTTTGAAAAAAGTCGATTTTTTAAATTTTGTTATGTTTTGAAAGATACATGTATCAAGAGTACATATGTCAAGTTTTAAAAAGATATTCGGAAAATTGACAGCAGTTTTTGTGAAGCAGTTTTTGTGACAATGATGCGCTGGAACTGCTTCTGGTATCGACGAAGAAACGTTTTTAAAGGAAGAGCTATTATATGGTTCAGGGATTACCAAATAAGAGTAACTTAAATTTTTTAATTTAAATTTGTGCAGTTAACATATATATATATAGTAATCTGAAAATAAAACTTCGCGTTTTTCTGAAAATCATTTTTTTCAACCTGGTTGACAGCAAATAAAAAAAATCTACTCGATTTATTGATTTAATGTAAATTGCATTTTGTTTAGAAAACTAATCTTTAGCCAGACATAGCCGTTTCTTAATTAATAAAAATTTTACAATTTTATTCGAATACAATTTATATTTTTTTTTTGTATACAGAAAAAGCCAAATTAAAAAAAAAAAGATTCACATATCCACCATTTTACTATTCTTGCTATTCTGTAATTTCCCTACATCCGGCTATAACTATATTCATTTCTTACTATCATAATTTTTTATTTTTTGTTACGAACAGCGCATATAGTCGATTCATTATTAACAAGCAAAAGTAACTGTTCGAGGTTACTGTTGCTTTGTCAAATAGCTTTAGTTCTAATAAGAAAAAAAGATTTTTTATGTATTTCAGTACTGATAGAATAAACTTAAGACACCATAAAACTAAATTACCTGATTTTATTATATTTTTAAAAAATCCCAAAGATCTCACGGTTTTTGAGGCCTTCATTTTATCTACCACAGCCCTCTCCGTCCCAATTCCTTGCTCCTTCTCTATTAAGATTCTTGATATCCTCTTCATACAATCACACGTAGCAGTTAAGTGTCGGACTGCTTACGCCTGTCTACATCTTCTTTATCCCCGTCACCATCTTTTCTGCTCTCAAAAATTCCTCAATTACTCGTTATTTCGCTATTTGATTAAGTATGTCGATGTCGTCTATGTTCTGGCTTTTAACCAACAACTCCTTAACCGTGTACAGCGTACCCAAAATTTTTGCCTACGTTTCTCCTATTACGTCCATAAATACGACCATATATCTCAATATTACCAGAGATCTAGCTGGCTTAGAATATGGCAATGTTTTATTCTTCACCTATGCTGTTTTGTTTTTCTTCCTTGCTCCTCTATATATGACGCTTCCGTCAATTGAACTCTGAGCTTCATTCCACTTCTTCCTTGTTAAGATTACTTATCCTTCCCCATTCATCGTTCCTCGAAGTTCGTGTCGCTTTTTCTTACACCTCAGTCAAATTCTCTTTTAATTTTCTTTCTACATCAATAAAAACTTTTCTGTTTTTGTCCTCTTCTGTTCTGTTGCCTCGCGTTTCATCGCGTTACTCACAGTATTTAATCCTTACCATATACAAGCTACAATTGGTGCCTCATTCATATAAATATGAGTCACTAAAATCCATTCGTTCTTTTACCTATTCAGAATAATTCAAACAATCTCCAAAAATTCACCAACATATTTTCAACTTTCTAAAATAAATATTAAAACTTCATTTTGGAAAATAATAAAACGTAATTTATAATTACTGAAAAACTCAAAGAAACTTGCACGTACAGGAATCCCTCGGTCACTAAATAACTCATACTTGTAGAGCATGATAGAAGGGATAACATGATGTGCTCACTTTGCAAGCATCTCTAAATCTCCGTCGTATCTTCTCTGGTCGAGAAATTTCTATGCCAAAGTATGCTAAAAACTATTCCTAATTATGCTAAAAACTATCCTATATAAAATTCCTAAATATGCAGTTTGGAACACGGAGTGTAGTTTGGCATTGAATTCTATTCTTATGCCAAAATAAACCGATTCATACCTTTACGAAAGACATAGAATGGCATACTTTTTCCGAATACTTAAATGAAAGATTAGAGGAATTCGGCATAGAAACGTGTAGTTTAAGAACTTAAGAAGTAATGATTATAGTTGCGCGTATTTTGGCATACTTTCTATGCCTAATTAGATACGTAATTTTACATTTTTCAAAAACGCGTAATTTGTCATTTCTTAACTATCAGACTATAGACTACTTAACTATCAGACTATAGAGTGTAATTCTGTGTAAAAAATCATAGAATGACTTAGAGAATACTTTCTTGAAACACTACAAAAGAATAAAAATTAGTTTGGCATAATTCTGCATAGAAACGCGTAGTTCACGAAGTATGTTTATTAATTGTGCGTATTTTGGCGTATTTTTATGCCTAATTAAGTCCAAGTACGCCATTTTACATCTTTCGCGTAGCTTGGCGTAGTTATTTCTATGTTAACATTTTTAATGGGATTCTATGCCGTAGTGGAAGTATAAAGGCGTACTTTTTTTATGTATTTTGGCATAAAAATTTTTCCGCCAGGATTTCTATGGATGTCACATTAGAGACAAAGACTACCAACAGTGAAACGCGAAACATGGGGCGATATTCATAGTCTGTTTTTATTTTAAAACTATCTTAAATAATGTCTTAAGATGCTAATACAATCATCGGATTGATTTATGACATCTTAAGATTGTACTTAAGACAGTCTTACATGCAGGAATCGAATATGAATACTGACCTATTTTACATCATGAAATTGGTATAAAACTTTCCTTGTTTAACATACTTATTTCTTTTTCTATAAAAAGATATAAGATGCATTATGATGTATGTCAAACAAGGAAAGGAGTTTTGTCTCTCAAACAACACTCACAGAAAGAGATGGCGGAGATTTAGAAAGAGACACTTGCAAACTGAGTACATCAATTGTCTCTATCATCATAATTAAAAAAGATTGATGTCTGAAATGTGTGTAGCTGCTTGCGCGCGCGCTTTTGTATGTGTGTGTGTGTGTGTGTGTGTGTGTGTGTGTGTGTGTGTGTGTGTGTGTGTGTGTGTGTGCGTGCGTGCGTGCGTGCGTGCGTGCGTGCGTGCTTGCGTGTATGCGTGTACAATTTTAACTATTGCTTCACCACTTATTGCATCGCTGTCTTACAAGGAAGATTAGGCAACTCAAAAATTCAAAAAATTCTAAAACATTGTGCACAAATAGAGTAGTTTGTAACACAAAACTATTATTTGTTTGTGTGAAATTACTGTCCATATAATATATAATATCTTTTCTTTTTCAAGTTGCAACTGGCTGCTCTATCAAAGCCAAAATTAAATGAACAAATATTTTATAAAAATAACAATTTCTTAATTCATACTTTGTTTTAAATTGTCTGAAATATTTTATACATTTCTTTATATATATCATAAAAATATTTGACTGGTTTTATGTTTGACACACTGTTACTATTACTGTTGCTATTGTTATTGTGTTGTTGTAGTTATATAAAAGCTCATATTTTAAAAGTTCCTGCTGTATTGATACTGTGTTGATGATATTGGATTGTATTGTATTTGCCAATTACATTATCTCGCGCAGCCAACGCGGTATGAGGCGAATACGGAACGTGTATACATAAGTGTTTTCATATTTGAAAAATAGTTCTCGGAACATAACTATAATATACATTGTTGTTTTCAGGGTTAAATGCTCTTTGATTTGCGTTACTCTTGAAACCATTCAAATTTCGGAAATTTTTTCGTACCTTTTATAATTTCAACGATATTCGCTTCAAAAGAAAAAAACCAATTTTTTTCAAAAGAGTGTTTCATCTCCTAAAACTGTAATTCGCACGAATAAAAAATAGTTTTGCGTTATGAATGAATTATCTTACTTGTACACAAAGTTTAAGAATTTTTTGAATTTATGAGTTGCCTAATGTCCTTTATTAGTTCTGGTTTTTTGAGTGAGTAGACTTTATAACAGTAGTTTTGTTGATGCCTTTGCAAGCTACTTTAGTTTATTGTATCATATTTTATGTTCATGTCTATTATTCTGTTAACACGTAATTTTTTCATAGAGCAATAAACTAAACTAAATTAAAAAAAAAATTTTGGATCGATCAACACATTTTAATGCTTATATTATTATAATATAACTCTTATATTATTATAATATAACTCTTTATCTGTCACATTTCCTGTACATATTGCAATAACAATTTTTACTCAAATATAAATGTATAATAATTTTTTTCTGTGTCGCATATTCAATAAATATAACTTGTTTTAAAGGAATTGAAAATGTGCTTACGTGAACTTGCTATAGTAGACGATACGTTGGAAGCTCTCGGAGAACCAAAGAAATACCAAAGGCTACGTAATTGGATAATTCGAATAATAATCGGATGGATTGCATACATATTTTATGAATTAGTATATTGGAATTATATTGCTTTCTTTGTTTTTAATTATGACATAATTTCCTGGTTTCTTCTTGTGTTTCGTTTTGGGTTTCTGAACTATTATCCGCCAAACATCATTATTTTAAGTACTCTGATTTCTGCAGCTATTCTTCGGTAAGTATTGTACCTGTATATACATTTACTTTGTACTATTTTTATTGACATTATGCATCAAAATGTTTGCAATGTGAAACACATAAAAATCTTTCAATAACATATGAAAAATGGAATCTATGTTTATCAATGACTGTGACCTTGATAATGTATGTATGTTTTTTTCTGAATTGTCCATATAAAATATATACATACAATATTTATTTTGAACTTTAAAAATATACTAAACAATAATTATTGAGTTATCCGGAAAGTTCGTGCAGATTTCTCAACAGATGTTGTTCGAAGGTGAATATCATATATTTATGTCGATGCGATGTGTCAGATGCTTTCGTGTTTTGATTAGTGACATTTCAACGCATTAGTGATATTAATTATCCCAATAAATTAAAAACTGTTTACTTGAAATCAACTTAAAGATGGAAGGAAATAACATGTTTTTTCGATGAATAATGCTTTTTTATTTCCGCAAAGGCAAAAACGCGACACAAACTCGAAAAAAAATATGTGCCGTATACGGGGAAGATGCCGTAAATGATCGCATGTGCCAGAAGTGGTTTGCTAAATTTCATTCAGGAGAAATGAATATTGAAGATGCTCCTCGCTGCCCGGCCAGTTACAACCGATGTCGACCAAATTACAGCTTTAATTGATTCCGATCGGCAAATCACAGTTCGGAAAATCGCAACAAGGTTAAACATTGGCAAATCAACTGTTTCCGAACATTTAAACAAGCTCCAGATTATAAAAAAGCTTGATGTTTGGGTGCCGCACGACTTAACTGAAAAAAATCGTATTAATCGCATTTTCATCAGCGATTTGCTATACAAACGCAACGAATACGAATATCCATTTTTCATAGCGTATCATAAGGCGACGAAAAGTGAATAATTTATAATAATGTCGAGCGTAAAAGGTCATGGAGCAAGCGAGGTCAACCGCCATCGACCACTTCGAAGGCAGGCTTACATCCAAAGAAGGTAATGCTTTGCATTTGATGGAATTAGAAGGGGATAGTGTACTATGAGCTATTACCGATTCGGACAAGTATTGTTCACAATTGGATAAATTGAAGGTGAAAATCGCCAAAAAGTGTCCGGAATTGATCAATAGGAAAGGCTTCGTTTTTCATCATGACAACGCCAACCTCATACAAGTTTATAGATTCGACAAAAATTATTGGCGTTTGGCTGGGATGTTTTGCCTCATTCCCCCGACATTGCACCCTCGGATTATCATTTATTTCGGTGGTCGCTACAAAATTCAATTAATGGTTTAAACTTTGCTTCTTTGGAACTCCTCAAAAATTACTTGGACAGCTTCTTCGCCGAAAAACCCCAGGACTTCTATGAGAGGGGAATTATGAAATTACCCAAAAGATGGAAAAGTATTGTACAAAATAATGATGCATATATTACAGAATAAAATTACTTTTAATAATAAAAATTTGTCGTTTGAATTTTGCTTAAAAATCCGCGTGGATTTTCCGGATAACTCAACTTCACAGTTTCAAATTGGAATATAACGAAATGATGTGATGTCATGTTTTGCATTCACTGTTATAGATTTACAGCAATTTTTTCGCGTTTTGGTCAAGAAAACATTAAAATATAAAATCTTTATAAAAACTGATTGGAATTGGAAATTTACACTTTTCGTATAAAAATGACTGTTAAGGTATCAATGACCAGACGTGTATTGTACCGGATAGTAACACGAAGTGAATTTATTTATATTATTACTTAGGGATACTCCGCATAATATGTTAAAGAGTAGAGAATATCAGATATCCGTCGTCAAATTCTTTTTATATGTCCAATTATCCGACTGGATAATGAATTTTCCTGATATCCTGCTAAATAGCGGAAAAGAGATTTTCAAAGGAAAAAGAAAAATGGCATGGTCTTTTAACCAAAGATGCTTTAACAAAAGGTCTTTTAAGGAGATTTTTACATTTGAGAATTGATTTTGAAAGCATTCTTTGAGAATTTTTTTAGTAAGTAAATATTTAGGTATAATCAAAAACTAATACAAGTTTACAAAGTGTGTATATATGTATAAAAAAATATTTTTTTTTGTAGTATTAATTTTTTACACAATAGTAATAAGATAACGTAATTAGACCTGCACTGCGAATATGATCAAATGATGATCAAGGTACAGATCGTATTGTTGATCTGATAACAAAAGTAAAGTTTTTTCTTATATTGAATAGACTTGTTATTCTCGCCCGATCTAGAATAATATCATATGCACATTTTCACAATGGCAACAGTTTGAAAAAAATAATTCGAATTTTTCTCACATTTTTCCTTTTATTTGACTTTAAAAAAAAAATAGAAAAAATTAACTATTAAAAGAAAAATTAACTATTAATAGAAAAAATTAATTATTAGCAAACTATTAGTTGTAATATGGGTGATAATGTTATGTTTACTGAATATAATAGAAATAGAAATCAGTCGGACTTTCATTTTTTTGGAATCGTGATAATCATATTTGAAAAGAGGGTTTCGGATAAAAAGTGAATAAATATTTTAAAACAAGTACCGTTCCGTTTTTCATTAGAAACGAAAGTAACTCTCAGAAAAGAACGGAACTTTGCTCTATTAGATAGAAACGTTTTAGAATGATTTAGAATGGTTGAACATAAATAATGACGACCGCCCGTTGTAATTGATTGATGCGCACTTTTTGAATCAATCAAGCAGCCACAAACACCATTTTATCTCGTATACTTTGAACAATTTTCGTTTTTCCCAAAAAAAACGTTTTTGTGGGATATTCTTAAGACCAAGCTTTTAAAAAAAGCAAAAAGATCAATTTTTTCCTCGCTAAAACGTAAAAACCCCCTTAATAAAACGAATTTATTTAATGTTTTTAGCATTTGTTTAGCATTTCTACAATTTTGTTTAACATTTCTTACTGATTGACATATTGTTATCTGTAAAGCGCGTAGTTTTCTGACTTTCTTTTTCTGAAAACGAATAGATTAAAACGACTAAAACTGAATTATAAATTTTGGACATAACTTATTTTAAAATTCTGCTCCTCATGTATAAAATATTATATTGAGATATAAAAAGTATTGAGAGTACAAAGTTTCCGCCGTTTGCAAAAGACGGCGCCACTAATAAACTGTAGTTAAAATTTGATGTAAAACGACATATCGTAAGATTGGACATCCGGCAACACCATAACCTTGAAATATTAGCGATTTTGTATCATATTTCTTTTTGTACGAAAATGTCGAATTTTGAGCCAAATAAGCATTTGCGGGAACTTTTGATTTACTTCTTTAATTTGAAGAAATCTGCAGTTGAGGCTCATAGATTGCTTGTAGAAGCATATCGTGATGCTGCCTTAAGTGAGAGAAGTTGTCGTGAGTGGTTTCAAAAGTTTAAGAACGGTGAATTTGACATCGAAGATAAAGAACGTAGCGGAAGGTCGAAAGTGTACGAAGACGCGGAATTGGAAGCATTATTGGATGAAGATTCGTGCCAAACGCAAAAAGAAGAACTTGCACTTACATTAGGAGTGACTCAACAAACAATTTCATATCGTTTGAAATCATTGGGAATGATTCAAAAGCAAGGGAATTGGGTTCCATATGAACTGAAGCCGAGAAACATTGAACGCCAATTTTTACATGTGAAATGTTGCTTGCCAGGCATAAACGAAAGAGTTTTTTGCATCGTATAGTCACTGGTGATGAAAAATGAATCCACTACGAACCCAAAGAAGAGGAAATCATGGAGACCATCTGGTCATGCTTCAACATCGACAGCCAAGCCGAATATTCATGGAAAAGAACTCATGTTGTGTATTTGAGTATTGAGGTGAGTCAACTTGGTATCGTGTATAATGAGTTGCTCAAACCGAACAAGACCATTACTGGGGCTATCTACCAAACACAATTGATGAGTACTCAAGGAAAAATGCGCCCACTACTACTCCAGGCATGAAAATTATTCTCCAAGATAATGCTTGACCACATGTTGCGGCGCTGGTCAAAACCTACTTAAAAACACTCAAATGGGAAATTCTATCTCACCCGCCGTATTCTCTAGACATTGCTCCTTCCGACTACCACTTATTCCGATTGATGACGCATGGCCTGTTTGAGCAGCACTTCACATCATATGAAAATATCAAAAGATTGTATAGCCTCGATGATTGGATAGCCTCAAAAGATGAAGCGTTCTTCCGACGTGGTACCCACATGCTATCAGAAAGATGTAGTGGGAAAAAGTAGTGGCTAGCGATGGCTATTACTTTGAATAAAACATTATGTTCTTTCACGTTCTTTCACAATAAATGCTTAATTTTTGACAAAAGAACGGCGAAAACTTATTTGTACTCCCAAGAAATAAAAAAATTTTAATTTAATTCGATTTCTGATTATTTATTAACGCAATTAGCGTTAATATGCTTTCATTGCTTATACATAATGCAACATATGTTATAATGTTAATAAAAGATGTAACTAAGTCTTTTTTATTTCAGATGCATAAATTCTAGATTTCATCGAGTCAATGAATGTTTACGTTTATTACATTCTGATCTGTTCAAAAGTAATGCAGATTACGGAAGACAAAACAGATTCATCTATGTGCATCAGCGGATATCAGAAACTAAGGATTACATTCAATATATATATATTATAATGTAATAATTATTTAATAGAATTACTGTGCACACACGTGCACGCACATATATACATGTATACAGAATGTCTCAATAACTTTCACGTCGACATTTTAAAAAGTATTTTAAAAAGTATTTAAAAAATGTCTTCTATGAAAGTGCAACTGCTTCGAAAGGAGTCTATTGTTATCATTGTTATTCGTTTCTAGATAGAGATACGATGAGAATCGCAATGAAAAAATTTAATGTTTATCTACGCTTTTTAAAATGGAATTATGGATTTTTTATGATTTCTCTATAACCATTCTGCATGTAAAAGTATTAAGTTAGAAATATAAAAAAATCAATAATCTGCAAGATATTATAAATATATTTCTCTGGCATATTATTGACATGATAAATATCTCGAAAACCATTTATTTTTTGATAATCGTAATATCCTAACACTTTTATGAATAGAATAATGAAATAAATCAGGTATAAAGAAAATATATAAGATAGTTGATCTAGTAATCACATTAACCTAAACTCTTGACTTTATAAATTTATATTTTTCAGATTGAAAAGTGAGTGACTATTATATTATTTTAAATCAGTTCTTTGTGACGAATAAAAACGTCGCTCTAAAATTTTTATATCTACTGCCGTTGTTGAGAAAATTCTTCGTAAAAATTAAAAGACGCAAATGTACGAATTATCGCAAGGAAATGAATTCTAAAGTCATCTGTCATGTATAATCAGTATTATCGAAATACATATAATTTTTGTGTTACTATTACTTTTTTTTCTGTTATGCATTTGGAAATTCTTTTTCAGGATTAAAGCATTAATACGCATTAATACGTGTCTGCAAAGTAGAGTCTTAATGCTGAGAATGATGACTGAAAGTTTCGAAATTCAGATTTTCCTTATAAATTTTTAGTCTATATGGTGCGAAATTATGTCATAACAACATTGTTTCATATGAAAGCTTACGAAATGGCTTGCAAAGATGAGTTCCTGAAATTGGACTTAGATCCCCCCCCCCTCTCTCTCTCTCTCTCTCTCTCTCTCTCTCTCTCTCTCT